GAACGGAACCGAACCCGAACGGTTCCATAATTATATTTGGACCCGACGGGTCCATTTGTTAAATACCCGAAAGTTTTGGGTCGGTTCGGGTATCTTCAGAACCGAACCGAACCGACCCACGGACAGCCCTATTACAACATGCATAATTTATTGTGTTCACCAATTAACTTGCTGAAATTTCTCTATTATTAAAGTGTCATCTCTAATACCCCCTTCTAAGATGCCATATAACTAGAGGTATAAAGTCGCACAATCAACCAATATTCGAATTTAATGTTAATTAATTCTAAGATATTTATTATTTTTCAAAGGAAATAATATTCTACTACTTATTAAGATTTGGGGGTCCATCTTAAAAGGTCAACCTTATTAAGAGGAGTAGTCCAAAATCTTTATAAAATGGTCTGTGTCACCTTCATTTATCGATGTGGAATATATATCCCTTACCANGGGGTCCATCTTAAAATGTCAACCTTATTAAGAGGAGTAGTCCAACATCTTTATTAATTGGTCTGTGTCAACATCTTTATTCGATGTGGGATTATATCCCTTAACACGCCCCCGCAAGATGGTGGCTCATTTGAGCAGACTAATCTTGAAATTCACGTGCTCAATTTTTGGAGTCTTATCGGGATCGTATCGCTCGTTGGAGCATAATGGGCTCTGATACCATATTAAGATTTGGGGGTTCATCTTAAAAGGTCAACCTTATTAAGAGGAGTAGTCCAAAATCTTTATTAATTGGTCTGTGTCAACATCTTTATTCGATGTGGGATTATATCCCTTAACACTAATGACTCGACACGTATAGTAGGCCTCTAGAACTGAACTCGACGAACCATTTTGACACTTCTACTAGTCCACCAAATCTCTGGCTCGTCTACACCACAATGGATGATCCAATGCAAAGTCTGTATTCAGAACCCCGTTGACTTTCCCATCAAAGACATGAGCTACATCTAAATCTGCGGTCTCAATTTATTTCCTAATTTTCGTAGAAAATTTATCCACGCTCAACTGGCAGTGGCTAGCAAGAGGAAAGCCACTGTACTCCACAATCCTTTTATATTCCATATGATATCGTCACATTTGGTTAGGTGGGAGGTACAATACTAAACAGTATTAAAGAATGAAGGAATCGCGCGTGAAGCGAGCAATAATAAACTAGTTGATGCAAAGTAACGAATATCGAGATTGGGTTAATAAAAAAGTTGGAATTTTTTTAACTTTTAATTGAAGTTTTATTCATTATCAAAAGCTGCTTAATACAATGCTGGATGATAGCTAACACAGGGACTGATGCACAAACAACTAAATAACTTAAATAAGGTAATAACTCAAATGAAAGACGTATTTGGGCTAAATAAACAAATGAATAAAAGTTGACAGGAAGTAATAGAAGCTCAGCTTTTTCTTGCTGCATAATTAGCCATGGGAATAAGTTTTCATTCTTTCTATAGAGGAATGGAAAATTCATGGATTCGCTTCACTGTCTTAGTTTCTGGTGTACTCTTTTTCCTTTTTTATGTACCAGTTTCCAATGCACAACTAGCACCAGCAGAAAGCAGAATCCTTTTTCAAGTTCAACAGATTCTTGAATTTCCACCAGCTCTTCAAACTTGGAATAACTGGACTAGCTTTTGCTGTCTCCCTCACACCCCTTTTTTAGTAATTGTCTGTTCAAATAATCACATTACTGAATTAACCATAGTAGGAAACAAAAGTTTTTCATCTCAGATTACGAAACTTTCTCCCAGGAACTTTGCAATTTCTCAGCATACTCTTTCGGTTAAATTTTCAATAGACACATTCTTCACTGTCCTAACAAAGCTTTCAAATCTGCAGAAGCTATCTCTAGTGTCATTAGGATTATGGGGTCCCTTGTCAGATAAAATTAACCAGTTTCGATCACTTTCAGTTTTAAACATTAGCTCCAATTTCATCTATGGTAGCATTACTCCGTCAATTGCCACTTCTCAAAGTCTAAGAAGTCTTGTCTTGAGCAATAATTTGCTCAATGGAAGTGTTCCTGATCTCAAAGGATTAAAATTTCTTGAAGAAATAGATTTGAGTAACAATCACCTGGGGCCGGAATTTCCATCCTTACCCAACAGTCTCATATGTATCACCTTAGGGAACAATTCTTTGAGATCTGAAATTCCTCGAGATTTCCATGCGTTTAATAAGCTTCAAATACTCAGTCTTTCCTCGTGTAAACTTATTGGACCGATTCCGTCTTTCTTGTTTTCTCTACCGTCGATTATGTTCATCAATCTGGCAAAAAATCAGTTCAGTGGAGCACTTTCAACAAATGTATCTTGCAATGGGAATCTTACTTTTATAGACATTTCCTATAATCTTTTGATTGGGAACTTACCTTCTTGCCTTGGGTCAAATACGGAAAACAAGACAGTCATTACTACATGGAATTGTCTGTCGAATACAACAACAAAGTATCAGCGCTCTTATACGTTCTGCCATAAAGAAGCATTGGCTGTAGAGCCACCGGCAAGAGACAGGGAGAGTTCCACCCTGAAACTTGGCATTGTTCTTGGTATAATTGGGGGCATTATTGCAATCTTAGGTGCATTCGGGTTCTTGGCCCTGGCCTTCTTCAGAAAGGTACAACGAAACAGAGCAGATGATTCCAAATGTGACAGCTTCATTATCGAGAAAACTTCTGTACACGGCTTTCCAATTGGAAATGGAAGCAAGTCCCTGGATCCCTTTTTTTTCTTTTCAACTTTTTGAATGCTGTAACCTGATACATATTTGATTGAGTAAATGATTCTGGTAAAAATGCATTTCAGGGCACGTGCCACAGCCAATGCGGTTGACATCAATCGGATTGCCACTGTATCATGTTTTCACACTGGAGGAAATGGAAGATGCAACAAATAACTTCGATCCATCTAATCTGGTGGGAGGAGGATTCCAGGATCTGGTAAAAAAAGCCTGTTTTGTGCGTGTGTGTTGATTGATTATGATAACTTTGAAGTTAATCCTCCATGAATTTGACAGGTCTATAAAGGTCGGCTTAGAGATGGCTCAGTGGTTCTAGTGAAATGTCTAAAACTAAAACAAAAACATTCACCTCAAGCTCTGCAACAGAAGATGGAAGTAATATCCAAGCTTAGGCATCGACATTTGGTCAGTGTTCTTGGACACTGTATTGTCGCATACCAGGACCATCCTAATACATCTACCACAGTTTTTATTGTTCTTGAGAACATTGCCAACGGGTCATTAAGAGATCTTCTTAGTGGTAAAAGCACTTGCTTCCATTACTGTCATATACTAAAATCGGCTTCCCAGTAGGAATTGAACTTAGGAATTCACAGAGTTGGGCATGTTACCCCAGCCGGGCTTCTCTCTTGGTTTTGATAAAGCCTCTGATCTTGAAAGACTGGTTCCTGAATCAATAATTGGACATTAACTATTTTTCAATTGGCAGATTGGAGAAAAAGGGAAGTTTTGAAATGGCCACAGAGAATGGCAATTACTATGGGAATTGCAAGGGGCATCCAGTACCTGCACACAGGAGGAGTCCAAGGAAATGATCTGAAAACAGAGAACATACGGTTGGATGAGAGCCTCACTGCAAAAATAAGCAGCTATAATTTGGCTCTGCTTTCTAAGGTAAAATTAATTGTAAGTTGAAGAATTAAAAGTTATAAATGCTTAAGCAGAGTGATTACACTGTTTCATATGCTCGAAATTTACAGGGTGGTACAGAAAGCCCTGAAAGTCCAGAGACTGATGATATTTATCGTTTGGGAGTTATTCTGATTGAGGTTATTACTGGTAGACCTATAAACTCTCAGAGTGAGCTAGACGACCTGAAGTTTCAGGTAACGATAACAGTTTACTATGACCTAATACTGCATACGAAACATACATTTCGTCTATTACTGTTATAGTTTTAGTTTTTGAATTCTCATATAGCTGGAGTTTTTATAATTTTCTATAATCTAAGATCAATCCAATGGTGTCACAGTTCGAAAGGAGATTATCAGTAACACCAGCAGAACTGCGAGGACTTATAGATCCCTCTATACGGGGAACTTTTGCATACGATTCACTAAAAACTGTTGTACAAATCACCATGAACTGCCTATGTAAAGATTCAAGCAAGCGCCCGACGGTGGAAGATGTTCTTTGGCATATGCATTATTCAGTTCAAGTTCAAGAAGGATGGACAGGCAGTGGAAACCTTAGTGGAAACCTCAGTGGGAATCTTTGTAGAAACCTTGAACACACTCGGTAATTTTTGTTAAATCTGTTTCATATGCAATTCCAGTCTCTGTATATCACATAATTTGTGAATTAGCCTGAAATTAAGATAATTTCCATTAACTTCGACCTATGAATGCATGCAATTTATGAAAAGAACATAATATACATTATACAATATAGAAAACAGAACCATAACTTGGATATTCTCTACAGTTCGAATCATATTTGGATACAGCATCGTTCATAAAATATGTGACATTTCATCTGACAAGTCTTCGTGAAATAATTCTGATAACAAAAATTTCCATACAGTTCAAAGTGCTTAAATGTCACGGGCTGTTGGACTCCAACATTTCTTGTGCAGCAAAACCAAAGTAATTATCAAAGAAGTTGGGCGGTTCGGTGATGAAGCATGAGATCACATCTCGGAGTGTAATCACACCAATTACGTCATTTTCCTCGCCTACTACATAAATTCTATGAACTGACTTAGTTGCAAGAGTGTCAATCACACTGCCGAAATTCGACTCAGGTTTGCACGTTATTGGTGTGATAATTCTTCCAGTGTCATTGGTTGCTGAAGCAATAGTCCTCATGAAGTCCTTAACAGTGAGCTCCCTGCAATTAACATATGGATACACTTCCAGAATTTAAAAAAAATATATTATAATAATAATAATAATAATAATAATAATAATAATAATAATAATAATTTTAGTATTAGTAGTTCAACACAAGATTCAATTTGACCCGTTTCTCTAATGGGGAGAACTTGGTTCATTTTCTAAAACATTAGCCTTCGGGTTAATCAACTGCTATGGGAATAACAGTGTTTTTTACTCTTAGCCTTTCATCAGTTAGAGCTACAACCAGACTTAAAGAGGCAGCGTTAATGCAATCTACCTGTAACTAGTGAATAGATCAGGCTTAAGCAACAAAAATCTGATATCTCTTATGCTTATGTTGCCAATGATTCTCCTTTTTGGGCCCTCAACAATGGGAAGGCCTCCAATTTGGTTTTCTTTCATTTTCTTGAATGCTTCTAGAACCAATTCATCACCTTGGACACTAACTACCTGAACAAAACAGAAGATGAGCACCCATGGAATGTCTATTGCTTTGTTATCTAAAGAAAATTTAGCCATAGCATGGACACTGTTTGTTCCAAGAACTTAATCGGTGCTGTCTAACCTCATCGGGGGATGAGAATGGAAGACCGAGCTCAGATAGAGGATGTGCGGAGATGCAATCAAACCAATCCCTTCCTTTGCATCCCTTCAGACCCTGTACAACAGCAGATTGAGTGATGAAGTTCGTAATGGATGGACTGCCAATTTCAATCACAGGCACATCTCGCAGCCTATACTTCGAGAGAAGTAGCATAACGCTCAACATAGAACTATCTATTCCAACCGGTATGAAAGGTGCCCATCGGTAGGACTTCAGGATTGACCTAACCTGTAAAAATAGCATTATTAAGGACAAATAAAAATTTTTAGGCCATATTTTATATATAGCAGTTAAAAGGGTGTTTTAAAAAAAAAAAAAGGCAAGCTGAAGTGAGATAGTGACATTTGAAAAAAATTCATCCGTTGTTCAGTTACCGTGGTTGACTTAAAAGGTTCCTCTTGTAGGATAATCTTGTAGAAATCTTCGCCAAGTTTATTGGCTGCCGTGGGGGCATCTTTCCGAATTCCTTTATCTGCAGCTACACCCCCAGCCACGGCTGCCCCAACCGCAGCCACAGTCAGACCAGCAACGGCCATAGGACCGGTTGCACCTAATGCTAGAGCCCCAATAGCACCAGCAGCACCTGCACCGACCCCAGCGGTTGCTGCTAAACTGGCTGATAAAGCAGCTGCTGCAATTTCCGCATTCTGTAGCACCCACAGAATAATCGCCGAGTAATCAATGATTCCCAAGTACCTCTCTCCCCAATCCAAACTAATTCTACGATCAGGATTTATCACGGGAGCCGAGAGAATGTTGGATTCCGATAAGATTTTCACCGCGTCACCGATCGATGTATCTGCTAGAATCTCGATTACTGTAAACATTTTGAACAAAACCAATATCAGATTTCGAACTTTGCCTATCAGAAAGAAGTAAATATTTAATATCATAGGCTCCCACCTTTTCCCCCGGGACTTGTGGGAACAATGAAACTGGAATTTCTGCAATTGCATCTGTTAGAGTCTTTTGCAATGAATGTGGCAACTTCTTTCGGCATTGAACCATATCAAAATAAGCATCATAGCTTGCACTTTTTGGATTTGTATTTTCGTCTTGCAACTGTGCCATGTCTACCCCTAAAAGAATTACATACTATGGAATTAGCATGAATAACAAACATAAAACATAATTAAAATAAAATCAAGAATCAATATGTTGATAAAAGAATTTACCTTAATTTGTGCAATTTCTCTTGAAAAATCTAACAGAAATAGGGAACTCTGAATCTTGGATGAGTTA